TTGTGGAAGTGGTTGGAGATTTTTTCCCCCCATTGACTTTTCTCTTGCTGGGGTTGAGGAGATGTTTCTTGCAGTTGTTTGCTTCCCAGGCCTAGCCACTTTTAGCAGATAATATCATCTTTCTGCAATTGATGAGAAAAGGAATGAGGGAACTTTTAAAGGATAACTGAAACCAAAACAAAGAACAGAAGGAGGTGAAGGAGTATGACCACTGATGGTCCTCCCGCCACATTTTTTATTTTTAATAAATCTTTCTAAAGTCTTCCTCATACAGATCTGAATTTCCTCTGAAACTGGTCTTGAATGTGGTTTATTAACTACTGATTTTGTATTGTCTTTTGCTGAACCACTTATTTCTTTAGGATCTAGAAGAATTACACTAATAGTTAAATGCTGCATAAACATATCCATATAAAGCACATGGACTCCTCCCTCTATCTAGCTACCAAATATATTGCAAAGATATTTAGAAGATTGTCCTTTTAGTTGTCAATATTTTGAAGTGTGTGATGAGTAAATGGAATAGCCTTACATCTTTCAGTGGTAGAACTGTCAAGAAGAGTTTTTCTTTTTTGCCCCTTACCCCTCAAATGTGGATTATTTTAAGAATCCATTACAGAGGAAATAAACGGTTGATTTTTAAACTAAAGATGATTCTAGAAACCATTTGCACTATATTGATGTCAAAAGTATCTCTCTGCCAAACTCTAAAATGCACCTTCAAAAACTACTGAAAATATCCAAGAATGTTAGTGATGTGCTACAAATGGACTTTCTTATTGATAAATAAAAGTCAATATGTATAGTGAAAGGACAACTTGCTGTGATAAATGGGCCTACCATCAGTAAAGATCAAATTATTGACTATCTAAAGCAAGGCAAAAACCTGTCTATAGCTAACTTGCAGGTGAGAAGAATTAGCTAACAACAGCAATTCAGAAAAATCTCGAAGAGATACATAAGAAGAATTCATTAAAAATACATACCAAAGTATACAACATTAGCAAATACATCTGTGGCACTAGGCTAATATATTTCTTTGGCCATGCCTAGGTTCACACCTTTATTTTTCCCCCTTGATTGAGCTCTCTTTGGGCTTCCCACATTACCACAAGGAAGTCTAATTCAAATTTTACCTTCAGACTACCCTTTTGTAGAGAAGTTCTCCTCTGCACTACTAAAAACCATATTGCTCTTAGAACATAGTCTCTAATGCTCCTGCTAGTTACTTTTCATCATGCTTCAACTAGATCACAAGTTGTCTGAGGGCATATTAAAAGTACCTCCATTTCTTTACCCCTCACAGACTAGCACAGAGCTCTACCCATAATAAGCATTAGATCAATATTTGTTGATTTCATCAGTGGTGAGATGATTTCTTAGAGAAACCTTGATCACACATCATGTCAGCATTTAATGATGAAGCATCACTGGAAACACCCAAAAGAATGATTTCAAGGATTAGTCTATCAAACAAACAAACAAAATATAGAATGGTGGTAACTAACCTCTCTGATATCTGTTGTTCCCAACTGGCAGAATGTAGGCATTTCTTCTACAGAAACTTTAATTGAATGCTCTGGGAACTACTCAGTAAAAGTGACAAATTTTGTACCATTTCAATTTAGAAACTAGTGTGTAACTAAGCAAAATATCAAAAGAATAACCCTTTCTTCTTCCCAACTCCCACACAAGCCACAGCTTCCAAAATCAGAGGTGGAGGCGAAATTGTTGCATGGTATCCACTATTGTGAGTTTATGAAAGTCATGCAGCTAAACTTACACCTAACTTTCCAGCTTTCTTGAGAGGTCTGAAATGTCAGTGCCTCCTGGCACCACTTTATTGCCACCAAAAATGGTTACAGATATGTACTTCATTGGTCTAATACCACATCCTGTTCCTCTTTGATGTCCCTGATTTGGAACAACATCTTCTAAATATTTGGTACTTGATAAATATTTGTTTCAGGAATGAATACGTAAATGAATAGAAGAAAGTTTTAAATTATGAAACAACAGTGTATTGGATGACACGTGCAATGCATTTGCCCAAATCAATAGAGGTGCTACCTCACTGGCTTTTAGTAATAGATTTAGCTATATGATTTGTTCTCTGTTATAAATACCAAAGTAGATATTTCAGAAAATTAATAAGTAAGTATATAGAGATAAAAATCATTAAAGCACACCAGGAACTATTAACCAATATAATAGTATTCTGAAACTTTGATGCATTTAACTATACCACTTAAACAGTTCACAAAAATCTATGGATTCAAAAATAATCTGTAAGTATGACCTAAACTGAAGGAAATTAACTTAAACACAGCTACATCAGTAACTAGTTAAGCCATACATCATCTCCTTCCAAGTCACAAACTAACCCACAACACCATTTTCAAACATGCATCCTTAGTTTCAAGTGGGTCTAAGCAAGAAACTGGATTTATTGGAAAGAAAATTGAAAGTAGTTATCTCCCCCGCCCCCTTCCTTGGGACTGCCTACCGAGGTGGCAGTCATCTCCTCCTCAGCATTTTGGCTGACTTCAGACCCCTGGTGAAACCCAAGATTGTCAAAAAGGGGACCAAGAAGTTCACCCAGCACCAGTCAGACTGATATGTCAAGATTAAGCATAACTGGCAGAAACCCAGAGGTATTGACAACAGGGTACATAGAAGATTCAAGAGCCAGATCTTGATGCCCAACATTGGTTACGGGAGCAACAAGAAAACAAAACACATGCTGCCTAGTGGCTTCCGGAAGTTCATGGTCCACAATGTCAAAGAGCAGGAAGTGCTGCTGATGTGCAACAGATCTTATTGTGCTGAGATTGCTCACAACATTTCCTCCAAAAACTGCAAAGCCATTGACCATCAGAGTCACCAACCCTAATGCCAGGCTGTGCGGTGAAGAAAATGAATAGACAGCTCATGTGCATGTTTTGTGTTTAAATAAAACCATAAAAACTGCAACAACAACAAAAAGAAAGTAGTTGTCCTTTTGGATAGGAGGACTTTTGGCATGATACCTCTGCTTCATTCATGTGTTCATTCATTTCACAAATTATATGAGAATACTTTCTACGGCCTAAACAATGTTGTATACAGGGCACATAGAAATGTGTGAATGAAACAGACAGTACCTACTTTCTTTTTTTTTTTTTTACTAAACTCAAATGCACAAAATGAAAAAAATGGGATTTACTTAAAATAACAATTTTATGCTTTTCCCACATTTTGTTCCCAAATGAATTATTTTAGAAAAGTTATGAAGTTGATGCTTGCACCACAGAACAGAGAAGTTCTATCTGTGTCCTGACAGGGATGATAAAACTGTTTGGAGGGAATATTTGAACCAGAATTATGTTACTAGTATTCTCTAAAGTGTATCTATGTGGTCTTCAGGTTATGATCACCAACACTATGCACACTCCATTAAAGTAAACGGAGGATCACTTTACCATATTACTATAAGAAAAGGATTGAAAGTGGCAGGAAATTGCAGGGAGGGGGAAAAGGGGAAGCGGGATTGACTGCAGTCGATATCTGCCTGGGGAAGGGGCGGCACACTTCATCAATAAGGGTAACTGCATGGTGAATATTTGTATGCCTAGCCCTAAATTGTACCCCACAATTTTAAATAAAAATTATAAGAGGAATAAATAAATAAATAAAATAAAAATAAGTTAATAAACAAAGGAGTATATCAGGTCTGAGCACTACTGATTCTGCTTGGACCTGGGATGAGACACTTGTGTCACTTATTAAATGTGTGAACTAACATAGTCTCAGCCTCTGCATTGCTCTCTTGTCTCCTAAGAAAGGTTTAGAAACACTGGCCAGGCCCACTCCCCTGTGCCAACAAACATTTCTCATGCATGATTTATAAATATATATTTTGTTTATTGCATTTATGGCCTATAAATATGTGTGTTAATATGATCTGAAGAGATTGTGATCATTTTTACTGCAGCAACTTACAAGAGATAAATTCCATTTTATTCAATAGTGTGTGTATATACATATTATATACATATATATTATATATATAGAAAGAGTGCACATTTGGATTAAGTATGACATAATGTATCTTATTGGAGTTTGTTTTGTTTTGTATCACTGTTTTTTCTGACAAATGATTCCTAGAACAAATGTGCTATGGAAATATGTTTCCTTCTGGAGATAATTAAGACCAAGTATTACAACTTGTGAAAAAATGTGGAAACTTGACTCTGTTTCTCTAACAGAATTAGTGGGTGTAATGTGCTTATAGGAAATTTTAGACTCCTGTGCTACCTTCTGTTTCTGGTCATAATTCTTACTTTGGAAATAATATCTCCTGACAAGTTGTCTGGAGACCTACCATTCAAAACACCAGCCCTTCCTATTATCATTTTCAGTATATCATTTTATATTTTTAAATTTACTTTTTATAGGACTTTTTTAGTGTTTGATACTATGATTTCTAATTTCATGAAAGAGAGCCAAAATGCGTACAAAGTGTTCATTAGCTGTGATTTGTGTGACAAAAGGAACCATTGCCACCATTGTAGAGATGGCCTTTCTAATTGACTAGCCTGATGTTCTTCTCTCTGTGTCCTGTTGCCGTTAATTGACTATATTGTTTTAGATTTATGCATTAAAAATACGATTTCTACTTCGAAGAGATCACTTTGTTACTTTGTAGCTTTTAAGCTGATGCGATGAACTTATTTTTCTTCTAAGATAAAGTCACATCTATAGATTTTTCAACTAATTACATGTCTGCCAATAAATACTTAGAGGATACATTTTATTTCAATTTATTATTTGTGTTTACATAGTGTGTCCCTGGAAATATCTGTGGAACTGAAAGGAAATGTTTTAATGGTGTTTGCTGCTACTTTTTCATTCTCTTTCTTCTCTCTCTCTCTCTCTCTCTCTCTCTCTCTCTCTCTCTCTCTCTCTCTCTCCCCACACACACACTCTTCCTCTCTCTCTTTCTCTCTCTTTTTTAATAGCTCCAGCCAGTCCAGTCAAGCATGACAGCAACTCAAACTCGGCAAACTTCCAAGATACTGAGGACATGCCTGACAGATGTGTCTTGGAAGAGTCTGAGAGTCCAGGTGAAAGCCATTTAAAAATAGTCAAGTATAAAATGATAAATTTGACACAGCTTTGGGGTCCTTGGAAGGGGGTGAGGGGAGGACATTGTAATGCTGTTTTCTCTTAGCAGCTGCACTGTCAAATTAATGGTCACCTCCAGGGGTCACAGTGTGGAGCTGTTATCTTTTCCTCTTTCATCAAGAATTCAGTTGGAGGAAGTACAAAGGCTTTATGACTGAGAAGGGAAGCTGACACTATTAGTTCATTATTATCAATTTTAGGCTAAACTGGTTAATAGAAGCAGAGATTAGAACCTAGAGAAATGGCAACATTTTAAATATTTCAAATAATGGGAACTAACAAGAGTCAAGGGAAAGTGGAGAAATGGAGTGAAAAGAGAAATTTTTGTCATCTTTACAATTCTTTTTACCTTTCTAAAAACAAACAGGACTGTGGGAGGAGAGGATTTTAGCATGACAGTAATGGATATTGTCAACTGTTTAGAGCAAAAGAAAAGAAAATGGTAACCTTTCCTCACTCAATAAAATTTACTTTGTCAAAGTTACTTATTTTTATATTTTCTTTGTGGAAAAAAAATAGACAAAAATGTACTAGAAGTAACCAGAAACACTTACGCATAGATTTTTGTTGCTGTTTTTGTTTTTCTTTGGAGCATGCCTAGTCTTAGCAAATGACTAAAAGAAAATAAAATCTTGTAGATGCTGAATGACATTCCTGGATAACTACAAAGTTGTAAGGTGCTGGAAGGAACCTTATTATCATGAGTGAAAGAGTTAAATATCTCTCCCACTTAATATTATTCTTTCCTGTTTTATCTGGCTGCTGTGTACCCTCTACCCTCTCACATCTTTGTGTGCTGATCCATGTATCATATTTTTGATTCATCCTCTCTGTGGCCTGTCAGCTTAGTTAAGAGATTTCCAAATCTTGTAGCCTTCGCTGACAGGGGGCAGCTGCAAACAGTCCCCTGATCCTTCCCTGAGGAGAGCTACTGAGATTTAATTTTCAGTGAAAGGTGCAGCCTGCAATCTATGTCAGGTCCCCTAAGTCATCTCAGAACCCCAATAGGCCCAGTGGCAATGGCATTGTATATCAGTCCTTTTCACTCCACCGAGATTCCCCAAAAGATGAACTACTGCTGTGTGCCCATTCTCAACTGAGAAATGGCATCTTTAGTGATGACAGAAATGTTTAATGAGCACATTAACTCCACCCCTTGCCACAACATCTAAAAGAAAAAATGTACATTCATCTTATTCTAAAAGGGCCAGGGTAATGATAGTGTTAAATTTCTATAATAAAAATTATTTAGTTTTGACTAATATTACTTAACTTTGATTAGGTTTTTGAAATGTCTTAATAAATAGTTTTATGTCTATTATTTCTTCAGGCAGTGAAATCTATGAGTAAAGTTTTTACTTAAGTGTTCATTGTTTTCGATAAGAATAGATCAGTTTGAGGCTGGGCATGGTGGCCCATGCCTATAATCCTAGCAATTAGTGTGAATTTGGGAGGTTGAGGCAGGGGGATCTCTTGAGTCCAGAAGCTTGAGACCACCCTGGGCAACATAGAGAGACCTCATTGCTTCAAACAATTTAAAAATTAACCAGGCGTGGTGGTGCTCACCTGTAGTCCCAGTTACTCGGGAAGCTGAGGTGGAAGGATCATCTGAACCCAGGAGGTCGAGACTGCAGTGAGCCATGATTGTGCCACTATACTCTAGCCTTAGTGATAGAGTGAGACATTGTCTCAAAAAAATAAATAAATAAAAACAAATTAACTTGATACCATTTCAAAAGTGGAATAAATTTTCATCATCCCTTAACAGAGTAAAATAATAGTGAGATTCAAGCATAACATACTCTATCTGATTGATATAAATGAAAGGATATCTCAAAAAGGAAAGATTAATTAGAAAATATAGGTGCTGATAAAGATTCTTAACTTTAAAAAGTGAGTACTGTTCCATACATCGGACATCATTATACTGGTAATAAAGAATGAATTACTCCGGTTTTTTCCTCTGTCCATTCCTGCATTTTAAGACATCTTGCCTTATAGGCCTAGAAACCTCTGGAGAGTTCACTACTGGTCTCACTGCCTTCCACTGAGAATTTGTGGCTTGGTTGTCATGGAGACATCGTATTTCTCCAAGAATTGCTCATATTGATCCGTGGCCAGGAGTAAATGGCCAAGTGAGTGTGAGGAATAAAGGGGGCTGGGTAGTCCTATAAAATGACCAGGGCTTGTGGGTTGGAAATAAGCTCATAGCAAACACTTAGGTAAAAAGAAAGAAGCAGTTTTATTTTGTTTCAGGATTTCTTTCTGCACTTTGGGCCATTGTCTTCTTTCACTATGAACTGAAAGAAACTTGTTAGTCACTTGTCATGTCAGATCTTTGGTGCTTGTCCTGACACAGCTGTCAGCCTTCCAGCTCTGTGCAGTTCAGGGACACACAACAAAGAGGCAATGGCATGAATTATTTATTGCTCCTTGTGTAGATAAAATTCTGTGATAAGAAATTAAGACACTTCTGACAGAGATGCTTGTTTAGTAAGAAAGATTTTGATGAGAGAGTGTATTTCCTTGAAGTATGAGCATTCAATGGGCAGAATTTTTAAAACTGCACACAGAGGAAAAGTAAGTTTTATACTTGTATGAATTTGGTAGCATAGAGTTATTCTCTTGAATTGTAAAAATAAGACTGTCCACTTTTCAAAGTCAAAAAATTAACTTCAGAATATCTCAAGCCATTCAAAATGTAGGGGCTCTGAAACTTTAAGCATTACTCTGGTGATTTGGTTACTTCTAGTTACCATGTGTGAGTCATGTTTCTCTGGAAATATCAACCACCTTGGTTAGAAGAAGAAACAGCATTTAGGGTTTTTAAGTGGTGAGATTTGGGAAACTGTCTTCAAACCAGCAGAGGTACTTCAGGAGCTAAGCTTATAAATGCTTATAAGCATATAACGTTAGTTATACATTATATCAAAAGAAGTGCATTAAAATTTGAATGCACATTCTTACCATTTTCAACTGGAATATTACCACTCCTTTAAAATTCTTCTTAACACTTTAAATGCATGCAAAATCCCCCAGTTACAAAGTTGAAAGTGATCGGTCTTCTAACTCGAATGAATATTTACCTTACATGGTTTTATCCATGCAATACTAAATGACTAATATATGTATTGCAGTATTTTAATGAATAGACCAGTTATATGAACAGCATATAGAAAATAAAAACAAAAAAAATCATTTTCCAATCTAAGCACAGTTCAAGAATATTGCTTCATATATTGTTCTTTTCAAGTAAAGTCTCTTCTTTACAAAATCCTCTACTTTAGCTCTTATTGATATTTTACTTTAGCTCTTATTGATATCAACTCATTTTCATATGCAGAAAGCAAGAGGAACATTGAAGGACAGAAAAACTAAAGTTCTGAGAAGAAGTGAAGTGGATATTTGATAGAATGAGATTTGCTAGAGTTTGAAAGTGTTGTAAAACCTAATTGTAAAATTTATATAAAATAGTAAGAGTAACTTTGTGAATTGCTTATCTTTGAATCCAGTGGATTTGAACTCAGTATGTAAATTGTTTATTTTTACATTGACATCACTCCTTCTCCAGCACTGAATTGACCCGGATGACCCATTTGTAAATGGGCTGCAGTCCGCATATAGGTCACAATTTAGATGCCTTGTGGAGTGGTTGTTCACCTGATCTCTAGAGTGCTCTACCTTATTCATCATGCCATTGTGATCTCTTTATTGGTTCAAGCTCTATACCCAGGTGAATGCCTGGAGTCCATTAAGGTAGGCAAAGCACCTTTAGACCAGAGCATTCCTGTTGCTATGACCCTGCTAGTGAACCTGGAGGTCTTGTCTGATAGGGAAAAGTATCTCTCAGCAGTGTCTTTTCTTTGGAATAATTCATTAGCAAAGAGTTTTGACTCACAGGTGAATCCCAGATTGAAGTTTCTGGCTTAGACTCTGTGAAGTCTACTTGCTCCTGCACTGGCATTTATACGTTCCGAAACCTATGGGAATAACTTTGATGTCTAGTAATAGAAGCACTGAGAAAACATCTTGAACTTACAGCTTCCTTTTTTGAGAGTTTAGGGCCATTAGGCTTTCTTTCTTTGGCTCTTTAAGGCCTGGTTGCTTCTGAATCTGAAATACTTTATCACAAAAATAGTTCAGTTGAGACTTTTGCTGGTTAACTTCCTGTTAACTTATTCGTATATAGTGATTAAAGCTCATTCCTTATTCTTCAGAATAGGAAAAAAAAAAAAAAAAGAATTATTTGCCCCTCATCTTTACATTCATGATGATAGAAAATTTAGTGTGATATTCACAATTTTTATGGAAGTGTTCATGAAAAACCTTGAGCTTTTATCACCTTATTGGCTTAGAAAATTAGGAACTTTACTTTTTAGTGCACTAAAGACAGTGTACTTAAAAGTAGTTTCTGCTGAAAAGAGTCGTGACAAAAGTGAGTTGCAAGTCCAACAAAATATATTTCCATAAGTGTGTTCACATCATTCTGAAGTAGTTTATAATCAGTATGCATTCTGCCACTAATAGAGCATTTTAGTGGTTTTTATATAGCGGGTTATGTATGTAGATCTATATACTTAATTGTCAATCAATATTACATTTGCATGAATCTGATGACCAAAACTAGGCTTCTCATAGAATTTCCAGGGATACTACATTGTGAAAAGCCAGGGTGGATTTCTTTTTTTTCTTTTGCTATTCTGGCTCATGAATCACCAGCAAAAATCAGGTAACAAAAAGTAGGACAGATTCAGGACTGGAGTGTTGGAGATGGCTGATGATGATGCATGAAGCAGAAAAAATGTGGAATGTGTGCGCAGCCCATCAATCACAGCTATCGAGAACATACTTCTTGTGGTTACTGCTGCAAATATGTTCTAGAAGAATTAAGAGCAACTTCAGTAGTAAGATATAAGCTCTTCTAGTTGTGTTTAACAATATTATCATTTTAAAAATTTACTCAGAGAAAATTTAAACATCAGTGTATTAATTTTTAAAGACTATAAAATTGAAGGCTAGTACACACACAAACATACTTTTTTTTTAGTATGTGATATTGGTTTAACTAAATCAAATAATCAGCCTTTTCATTTTTGTCAGTAGAAGTGGAGTTACTATTCATGGTTGTGTCGTTAATATAAATGTGTTTAAAAATAGTTAATTAAGGCACAATGCTCCAATTAGTTTGAAGGTCAAATTGATTTAAATTGAGTGGTTTTTTTTTAGCCAACAAAGACAATTGTCCACATAATCTGAAAAATAATTGGGTATTTTATTCTATAGCTAAAAGTGTATTTCAACTATTATTTATTAAGTTTGACCCTAAAACTGCAGTTGTGGGTTTCTCCAAGAACAATTAAGCTGCTTGAAATTTATGAAAAGTTGCTAAATTCAAACCAAATTCATCTAGTTGAAAACTTTCATCTTCCTTGGAAATTGAAAAAAAAACTATTAATAACATGTGCAATTAACGTGTATTTATCTGGTTTATGAGACACAAGAATATTTGTATTATATTAATGTGTTTTATTTCAGATAGAGAAGACATGTATGATTATAGGCAATACCTTTCTTCCTTTTTCTTTATGTTAATTTCTTTCTCCCTACATCTTTTTCTCCTTTCCCTTCTCTCTCCCCCTCCCTTCCCTTTCATTTTTCCTCTCTCTGTATTTTACCATATAACTCACAATATCTGTTTTTTTTCTAGATGAGCCAAGTCATCATTCATGGATTGCAAAGGTGTGTCCCTGCAGGGTGTGCTAAATGAAATCACATGTGTACAAACTGGATTTGGAAAAATTAATAAACTCAAAAGATGCCATTTGTTTATTATTGTATGAAAGCAATGTTGTTATTGGTCAAGATATTAGGCTGTAGTAGATTTGCTAATATTTTAGCCAGAGCATATTGAAAGTGTAATTACTGATTGAAAATACCCAGATTCATTGCATTTTAGAAAATCTTTGTCTAAATCATTCTGTATTCCTGCTTCTTACTTTTTTACCAACAAAGAATGTGAGTCTACAGATACAAATCTAATACTGTTTTAGATTTTCTTCCATTTTTTCGGTCACTGAATTATATAATAATCAATATTAAAACGAACATATTATACAGTGCGTTTAAATTTAGTGTTGCTTCGATGTATTTAATCTAAAACTTTACCAAATTTGATTTGTTAGGTTAGGATATTCTGTTTTATTAGGTGTTTTAATTCAGATCAATTACTACAGTATATCTCGTCCCTAAGCATGAAATGTTGCCAACAAATAACCAGTTCCACTTAGTCACTAATTAGTCCAAATAAGTGACACACAGCGTAACAGTGACCAACTTTGTGCTGTTTAGTCAATTTGGATTTCTAATGACATTGAGGCTAATGTCTTTAGCTAAATGTTGATCTTCTTGGCCATATAAATGTGAATTAGGGAAGGGGAATCTACTTATAGCATATCACAATTGATCCTTATTAAGTATAAACTCTTGTAGTTCTTTTCCCAGAAAGAAGCTTGACTAGCAGGAATTCCAAAACTAAAATATGCAAAGCAATATTAATAGGAACAGACGTAAAGTGCTCATCCATTAAAGCCTTTAGTGATCTGACTTATTTGCTATGATGTATATGGTACAATTCCTTGATTTACAGAAAATTATCAAAAATATTATTAATGTGCATATATTATGAATACAAATATTGCCTCATCCATACCAAAATGGAAGTAAAGTATTAGATATATGATATAAAGCTATATTTATCAACCTAATAGAGAAGTTTAGTCACTTCAATTTAACAAACATATTTTTGAGCACCAGCCTCAGGTCCTATGCTGTGATGCATTGAACAGGGGAGGGAGAGATTAGAGAATAGAATTGTATAATTAAAATGGAATGGTCTCTACCCTTAAGGAGCTTATAATTAATGATTGACCTGAATGAATATACCAGAATATAGACATCAAATGACCATGACTCCTTTAAAGTAGATTAACAAGTGTGCTCTTTGTTTCCTAAAGTATGATGCCACTGCTTGAAATTACTTTTGAGTTGTACTTCAGAAATGATAACATATGAATGTGAATGATCACGGAAAATTACTATCCTTTGAAAATTAGCATAGATTCCCCCCCCACCCCCCTTTGGAAATAGCCAGAAGTCACTTGAAACCAGTTTCAAAATAAAGGAATGTAGCAAGGCGGGCAATAGAAGATATTTTCTTGAATGTTGTGTACTGGCTCTCAAGGTCATTACAAGAAAGACTTCCAAAAGCATTTTGAATGATGGCAATATCAAATAAGTATATGTCTTCCCAAAGGGATAATTTTAATATTTAAAACATTTAGATAATGAATTTATAATACGTTTATTAAAAATGAGTTTATTATTTTTGGACCTACATCCTATTATTCCCTTTTCAAGGAAGAATAACAATAGATTCTAACAGTTGCCATACTTAGCATTTTTTCAGGTCTAAGGAAACCAATATTGAATTCCTTATAAATATTTTATGATGTCACTATCTATAGGAAATTAGAACTGGCACAACCCTGACATTTCTAAATGGGAGTTTTAAGATTTTTTCAGTTTCGCATGATATAGCCTCTAACACTTAAAAATGTATGTTAAATGACTAGTTAGAATCCACTCTTAGCAGTGTGAATTCTGAAAGCCAATACCATTAACTATCAAAACCTTTAATTTCTAAAAATGAGAGTCTTCAGGATATTTAAATAATGCTTTCCTAATATTCATGTGCAAGAGTGTTTATGACACAAATCCACTAGTCTGTTTTAAAATGATTTATTTGCTTTATGTTGACTTAAGTTCAACATGTTTCAGTAATTTCTGTTATGAGGAGACTTGAAATAGCAAGTTGTCTGGCAATTAACTGGATGGATCATGCAGTGATTCCAACCACTTGATACTGCAGCCAGAAACTCCTAGGCTTCCTCTTGATTAGACAGGTGTTCTGTTGCATACTTAGCCTTAGGTAACCAGCAGTGTGTTGTGTTAGTGAATGCGTTTGCAACCAAATTCTTCCTGTCATTGTAATAAATAATTAATCAGCAAATTTTATCTTGTGTTTCTTTTTTGGTAATCATTTTGGTGATATTTATGAATACACATACACACACACACACACACACACACACACACACCCCAAAGGAATATCATATTTTCATATTTGAAAGTATTCTTTATTGTGGAGTTATACTTTGTCTGTATCATGTATTGCAGAGGAAAGAACCTAGAAAGAATCTTTGGTTAAGAGCAGAGGCTTCCCTGCAGTGTGCCCAAGTGCAGGTGCTTCCTGTGCTTCTCAGAGCCTCATCTCCAACTCCCTGTTGGAGAACTTCCTCACGGGGCTCATCCAGAGGTGTTAGAAACACAATCTGAACACTGTACAACAGTTCAAACATAAGGTAAAAAGCATAGTATTATAAACACACAATTAGAGAGGTGGCCCCAGGCCTCGAACATTCTGTTAATATTTCAAAAACAAAGTCAAGTCTATTTTGAGCATACCAGCAATAGAAAAAATGATAGGAAAACAGTTTGTCAAATATCAATCTTCTATCTTTAGATGGTAGCATTTGGGGTCATTTTTATTTTCTTCCTTATACATTTTCCTCCAGTATACTGCACTTTAAAAATTCTTTGATTATTATTCAAATGAACACTTTTTAAAAGATACTATTTCTCTGCAATCTTTAGAGGGCACATTATAATAATTGAGTTTTTAAAAATTAAGTTTTATGCCATGTGTTTAAAATGAAAGCTCAGACTAGATTAATTCCAATTGATTTTAAAGACTTATTGTCACAAAATAGGCTTATTCAAGTAATTTTTTAAAATTTTACATTGCATACATTTATGCTCAGTTATTTAAAAGCATAGTTACTGACTCTTTTATTCTCCACAAAATGTTGTCTTACATGTAAAGTGGCCAAGATGTGTTTAATTTCATAAGAAAGTCATTGCTTTGCAAACATTTGCATAATACTTAGTGTTTTAAAAATATTTTAAAATACTAGTTGTAACCAGAGGAGTTGCAAAGTTACAGCATTTTTTTGGTCTGTTTTTTTCTTTTGTGTATTTGTTTTTTCTTTGTTTTAGTATAAAGGTGTGGAGTACAAGTCAGGATTTGGTACATAAGTAATGTATGTATAGGTGAATATACTCTGGTTTCCCTTCAGATCATATAAAATTGCCTTTTACTAAAGTTACAACATTCTTGATTAGATATCTTTGAAGTTACATGGCGTCATGTACAGTAGTTGCCAGATCACTTTGCACTTTAATTTGGTCAACAAGGATTCTAGAAATGGCATGTAAGAGAACATAAACTGGAAATTAACAGGCCTCTCAGTAGGAGCATGCCCCTGGCCAATGTGGGATTCCCCGGAAGAGAGCATGTGTCATTTCATCTCATTAACTATGCAGGAACTAAGTGGAGGCCTACCCTGGTGCAACTCCTTTACTTGTTTCAGCTTCATCCTGACCTTCTCAGATACCATCTTTATTTAAAATCTTGATATCATGGATTTTTTGGCAATAATTTGATTTTTATAAATATTGTATTAAATATATTTATCTTGATTGCTGAGATTCTTTTTGGCATGGCCTGGTCTTAGACCCTAAAATTTATTAAGTCTAAGATAAATAGGCCTTCCCCCTCCCCCCCGAATGCATATTGTATGTGAATGGACTATAATTGCATCATTATGGGCATGATTATGATACAGATGGTAATAAACAGTTATTTTAATACCAAGTGAAAACTAAAACAATAGACCAGTGAAAGTGTTTGAAATGTCTTATTTCTAGAGGTATACTGGGAAAATATTGAACATATATAATTCTTCCTTTGATATTGTTTCTCCAAATGTCATTTTTCATTGCACAGAGCATATTTTCCTAACATCAATTTTGAGGATCCTTTTTTGTTTTCAATATTCTACTAATTAGAAAGGTAGCAATGATTTTTATTCAAAGATACAAGGTTTCTAACACCAAAGATAATTAGTCCATGTTTAGTACAACACTATGCCTAAATCTGCAAAGTGCCAAATGCCAGCAAAATGCCAATATTCATAACATTATGCAACAGCAATAATTAGTTGGCACATACTTCCAAAACCCATCATTTATTCACTTAGCAATCATTTTAATTGCAATTATCTGTAAAGTCATCAATCAGGTTTTCGATCTTGCATGTGTATTTTCTAGGGAGAAGGTGTTTTCACACAGTCTCAGTAACTGAGCACTGTGGCCTCAGATGATGGCTTTTAAGATAAAAAGACAACCTATGATGTTCTTGACATATCACACATTCCTGTTGACTTTTAAAGAGATTTCCTGCTAATTCTGTAGTGTCAACTACATTTCCTATCAGAAATAATCCCTCTGGTCTTTATCAAAAGAATTCAGATACCTATGTTATCTCTATTTGCATCAAGTTATAGTTACTATATAATCAATGGAGGAACATTGTTTCATTTGATTTCATTTTTCTTTCTTGTATTTTAGAATCTGCCACGGGGAGTTGGGGGGATAGAGGGGACCTGTAACACAGTGAGATCAAAACCTTGATCCTTTTTCTGAGACACAGTCATGGGAATCAAGTTGCACTCAGGATTGCTTTTATGATAAGGAAGAATTCCTTGGATCAGCTTCTATTTCAAAAAATCAAGGTATTCACAACAATCTAAGCAAAACATTTAGTCCAATATCTGCAAGAATTTGAGATAGAAAGTGGAGCGAAAATTACAAACACT